AAAACTAAAGTGTCCTTGAAGTGCATACATGAATTGCTTACTTGTTTATGGGAAAAGGCATGGCAGAAACAGCAGTGAAAAGCTTGATTTCTCACAAAAATTTTCAAGCTTATGAAGCATGTAACATATATTAGATAATATGAGGTCATGCTTAATGAAAACTGTTCCTTCAGAATTCAGACAGAATAAATAACAGCAAAAATTGTTGAAATTTTTGAAAAATATTTTTCAATATTTTCTCATTAGCTATTATATTTTTCTCTTTTTTCCTGTCTTCTCTGGACTTACTATATCAGTATCTTTTTTACTATAACATGATAAATGTTGAATTTCACAAAATAGATATTTCTTTCAATAAAATGATCTTTTTTCATTTTCACTTTAAATATTTTATTACATGAAATTATATTATTTGCTTGTTCTATCCTACAGAATATATGTAGCTATGTATAGATATTACTTACGTGTTTCTGAAGTGTTTATTTGTGCTTGTTTGTTTTTTGTAGATATATTCATCAGCTAGTTTGCCTCTAATAGACAAACAGGTACACAGACACACACAAACCCACAGGATTGTCTCATTGTTTCAAAGATATAAATTCGTGTAATATATTGAATAAATAAAATTAGCTTTACTGAGATTGAGAAGTTCACAATGCAGGAGACAATGTCCCTAAAAGTACCATGTAAGTAGAAAACACAGCTTTCCCCAAGCTGAGAACATAGAATCTATGCTCATTCTCACAGCCAGTGCTGCATGGATGTAACTGAAGTATTTGGATAATCAGATACTTTACTGTCCAAATATCTCATTTTCATACTTCTGTTTGCTTGTGCCTGCAGTAATACTTGACCAAATGAATAAGTGAGAATGTTTGTTGAATTGGATGATATCAACTACCTTCTGTATGTGATGCAATAGGTTAAAGCTGAATAAATCGTGGTGTGCAATAGCAATGAATTTGATTTATGAATTTAGATATCTTTCATAAACACACCAAAAATGTAAGATACAGACAACAAAGTGTAAATGACCAACATTATTTCATATTTTCCTTATGTATACAAGACCATTACACTGAAAATTCCATACATCTCACTAATTGCCTTGTATTTTCTAAGTATTCACTAATTTTGTTCATAAAACCATTGCTATGCCTGTACATGTTCTGTGTCTTTCTCATCTCAGTTTGACATAACAAACTGGGCAGCTTAAACAATGAGAATTTATTTTATTACAGTTCTGGAAACTGAAGTTCAAATCAGGAAAAGTTGGCTGCAGTTCTGGTGAGGGCTCCTTTACAGGGTCTGAAAAGCCACATTCTCACTGTGTCATCACATTATAAAAGGGAGTCTGGTGTCTCTTCTCAAAAGGACACAAATCCTACTGGATTGGGGCATCACTCTTACAACCTCATTTAAACTTGATTACTCCCTGAAAGTTCTTACCTCCAAATACAGCCACACTTGAGTTAGGATTTAGTATACAAATTTTGAAGGACACCCTGTATGCATCTATGAAATTATCACAATGAAACCCCTTGTACTATTAATATATTTAATGAAAAACTTTAAAAGCCTAAATAAAACTAAAGTTTGAAAAGCTTTTGAAGACATACATCAGTTCATAGCACAGTAATAATCTTTTTTTATTTGGCTTAACATAGCATTTGCAAAATACAAATTTCAATCCCTTCATAGCTTTACTTTACTTTTTTGTTTAACTCTTAAGTTAACTCCATCCTTGGATTCATTATGTTCTATATATCTATAGTTCTGCTGATGGAATTTAAGCTGTTTCAGATTTTTTACTATGATAAATGAAATTATTTCAATTCAAATTCTTATAATTAGAATTCTCACTGCAATTCTTTCACTTATGTGTGAATTTTTCTGTATGCGGTATAAGAAGCAAGAACATTGTATGTTACTATATAAGCATCTTTATTTTGAGAGATATCTTAGATTGCAATGCAGATTTTTATGACTTCAGAGGAAGCATAATAATAAATACTACAGAACCAAAGACAAAAATCATTATTGAAATTCCTTGACACCCTCAAAAATAAAGGAGTTCAATCTTCAGTTTGTCATAGAGCTTAGGACATTTTGAATGTATTTTCTTGTATTACAACAGAAAGCAAAGTGCCCTGGACACCCTGTGGTGTTCCCTCCTTAGGAGGCCAGGTGGTACTTTCAATGGCCCTACAGGAGAACGCCACAGCAGGAGTGTGAGAATATGAGGTGTGAGGGAGCACACCTAGACTAGACACAAATAAAGCTATAAATAGCTGCAATCATGATCCCCACAAGAATTGTGTTTGTCCTGCAAATCTTTTTTCCCAGAGGCTGATTATAAGAAATTGAAATTGATTTCAGCACCCAGGCCTGTGCAAAAGAGAGCTCCAGATAAGATGAAATTCACTGACTTTCTCCCTCTCACCATGAAGAGTAGGAAAGCTCAAGAGAAAAAGAAAATATTAACATTTTGAACCTTACCAGGTGAGTCTGAATAGTGGGGCTTCACAAGATTGTAGTAAAGCAGGTAACGAAAGGGATCTCCATGGTCTATGACTGAGTGTGTACAAAGAAGCTTTTTTCTGTATTAAAAGCTTTCAAGCCAGGAGCTGAACTATGTGAAATTTAAATTTCCTTTGAAGTGTTCACTTTAGTTATTTCAAGATTTAAATTTGCACATTGATGTTTATATTTATGAGGTGCATGTATGCAATGTGAAATAATCCAATCAGGAGATAGAATTTCTACCTAGAGAAACATTGAGCATTTGTTTGTGTTGGGAACTTTCCAAACTCCTTTTCCTGAAGTTTGTCACATGAAGTCTGGCAGAGTTCAAAGTCCTTGTCTACTTTTAATCCATGACATCTGATGCAGTCCCCTGTAAGAGTGATTATATAAATGGACATTATCAAGGATCACAAGAACCAATTTTCTTCACATGTACCATGGGGCTAAATTTACCCATATTTAAAACAAAGAAAAGCCCCATTGAACATCATCACCAGTAAAATGTAGATTTAAAAATTGACATTGAATAATCAGTCATCTTGCATCAATAATAACAAATTTGATAACTGAAAATAAATGAAGAGAGCTGAGAGCCATCTTTTTCTATTATTTATGTGAGTGAAGATGAATTATTTTTAAGCTTGCTAAACTTGGTTTACCACAAATAATATGTTAATGATTACCAGTACTTGCTGATAGGACTGCTGAGGGGTCTAAAAGTGACTGAAACACAACATTGAATCAACTTGGGAGACTGCCTTGTATACACACTGGACGTGATCAACACCTTTATATCTATGAAGCACTAAGCCTATTGAGGGGAATATCAGAAACCAAACTCTTCATTTAACAATTACAAGAACGAGAGACAAAGAATATCAGGAAAAATCTAAAGTTAGAAAACATTAATTACCATGTTACTGAGAAAAAGTCTTGTTCAATTTTATTTCAGTTACACCATCCTGACTCCATCTTTAACTCTTTTCATGTGCATTTGTTGTGTTAGGATCAGTAACTTGTGTAATATAAGCCATTTGTGGAAGCCAGCCTGGGCAAAGAAAATTAGTGAGACCGCATCTCAACAAATAAGCTGGACGTGATGATAGGCACTCAAAATCCCAGCAAGACAGGAGGCATAGATGAAAGGATAATGTTCCTAGGCCAACCCTGTGCAAACGTACTGTAGCTTACTGTACATTCTGCAGGAATGTAAGGCCCTCTTGCCTAGTAACACAGTCTGGTCCAAGGTCCACTCTAGTTACAGCACACTGCATCTCCTGGTCTCTCTGGCTGTACAGCACCACAATGAGCCAGCACTTAATTCTTTCCCTCCCACACTTTTTAGGCCTCATGCAAATCATCTTTTGGAAATGTGCATTTGACTAGTCCTTAGTTATTGATTTCCTAACATTCCCATGTGCTCCAGCCTTGAAATCTAGGACTGTTGAAGGTGCTTCTGTCTCACCTAGAAAGGTATTAATTCTTCTCCCACGCAGCTGAGGAGGCTTGGCAAGTTGGACTGAAGTCAGTTGAGGTAACTTATAAATTATCATTTGGGGCATTTTTTGAAAAATCAATGTATGTGGCTAAATACCTAGATTATTATGAACTTTTTTAAATTCATTAAAATTATTCTAAATTGCAACATAAAATATTTCCTACATTTCATTCTTCTTCACACACTAACTTACTCATCCACCTTAAACGACATATTTCTATTCAGTCACCACTGTTGTAATTTGACTTATTGTAACTAATTTAGTAGCTCCTAGTATTTTTGCAATATGTATTCCCAAATTGATAACACTGGATGTACAATTTATGAGTGTGTGTAAGAAAGACAGAATGTACACAAGTGCATTTGTAAATATCCTGTGGGCCAGAAATAGTTAATTTCCCCATATATTATGTGCCTATCTTACTTACCACCCATACCTGTTATTTTTTCATTATAATGATATATCCACAATTATAAATCTCATTTCTTTACTTATCTTCACTTTTACAACAAACTTGTTTAATTAATTTGTGTAATGCGAAACAGAAAATACTTTTACTCACTGTAAAAATATTAAGTGTTAAAAACAGAAACATTTGTAAATGACTACTTTTTCTCTGAATTGCTTTAAAAATTCACTCTGATATACCAATGGTTTTATTTAGAAAATCAGTAAAATGTCAAAATAAATTTTATTAAGATACGAAACTTATTAATAAATAGGTCAGATGCACTAAAAGACCTTTTTTCAAATACTCTTTCTAATCAGCCCATGTGTTATGCTAACACATTTTGGAAATGACATTTTAAGGTCATTTAAACTTAACATGCATTTAAGACAGCATGTTTTATAAACATAATATAGTTGAATTCTTACAGGAAGGAAAATGCATTGTCAGACAAGAGGAAGGCTCAGTGTGAACCTGATGTGTGGTCTTCCTTCCTTTGCCCCACAGCAGGAAAATAGAATGATGACATGACCAACCACACAGAGGAGATGAAATTCTTTCTCATGCAATTCTGTGACAGCAAGCAACTCCAGAGTTTACTTGGCTTTCTGTTTCTGCTGATTTACTTGGAGTCTCTTGCAGCAAATTTTCTCATTATCATCCTTGTCACCATGGACCACTTTCTTCACACCCCCATGTACTTCTTCCTGAAGAACTTATCTTTTCTGGATGCAGGCCTCATTTCAGTCACAGTCCCAAACCTCATTCTCAACTCTTTGTCCCACAGAAGTGTCATCTCTTTCCCAGGATGTGTGTGTCAGGTCTTGTTGGTGATTCACTTTGTTGGATCTGAACTTTACATTCTCACAGCCATGTCCTATGATCGCTATGTGGCCATCTGTCAACCTCTACGCTATGATGCCATCATGAACAGGGAGGTCTGCATGCAGATGGTAGCTGTCTCTTGGGTCCTTGGGAGTTTCTTTGGAATCTCATATTCAGCTGGAACTTTCTCTTTGTCCTTCTGTGGTTCCAGAAAACTCCCACAGTTTTTCTGTGATGTCCCCTCTCTACTGAAGATTTCTTGCTCAAAGATGCATGTCAACATTGATGTTAGTGTGGCCACTGGAATCATATATGGACTTTTATGCTTGATGTCCATTGGGTTGTCATATGTTTGGATTTTCAGTGCAGTGCTGAGAATGCCATCATTACAAGGGAGGTCAAAAGCTTTCTCGACCTGCATACCCCATTTAATAGTTGTGACTGCATTTTTACTGACAGGTGCCGTTGCCTATTTAAAACCAGTTCCTGATTCCCCACACATTGTGGACTTTCTGGTGTCTATTTTCTATTCTGTGATACCTCCATCTTTGAATCCTATAATATACAGCCTAAGGAACAAGGAAATCAAAGCTTCTTTACGTAAGTTTCTATGGAAACTACATTGTTGTAAGTGTTATGAGGAAAACAAGAGAACTAGTATCTAGAAGGGCTAAAAAGCATGTCTTGGTTCTTTTGTGGGCATTTTATATACTTATGTAGGTTCTTTGTAGCATGATGTAAATAGTCAATATCTTGGTTTAAGTAAATATTTATTCTATTTAAAAGAACTATGATATGATTTATAGGTTCATGATCATGAATCAACTATCATTATCTCAGAACTCACGTAAGGTAGATATTTGGTACTTAGAGTGATCCATGCAATTCAGACTTCAGAGGTTTTATAGCAGTCTCTGAATACTTATATTATTCAGACAGCTGTTCGTGCCCAGCTCTTTGGAACCTGAGAATTCCATTGCCTTATATTGTAAAGGGGAACTTGCAAGTATAATTGCATTAAGGAGTTTGGGATGGGTGGCTTATCCAAGTGATCACAATACAATAACATCAACCCTTACAAACTGAGAAATTCTTAAGATTTTGCTCATAGGGAGAGATGTATGCACAGGAGGGCGGTCTTAATTGTTGGCATTGGTGATAAGCATTTGTCATAAGCTATAGAATAAGGGTAGCCTCTATGGGTTGGAAGAACTAAGAAAACACATTTTCCGCTAGAGACTACAGAAAGGAATGCAGCACTGTCAGCTACTCGGAATTTTAGCAGAGTGTGACCTGTGCTGCAACTGTAAATTGCAAAACTGGAAAATAATGAATTTATTTTATATTAATACAAGAAGTAGCTTCTGACTACAACAACATAAACAAGTACATGCTTATAGAATTGACTCAATAAATGGCTCTCAAATCAGAATTTCTGTTATGAACACACACAGTAACACTAAAGTCAGTAAAAAATGAGGAATTTTAAAAAGCAAACACATGATTTTTCATTCTCAAAATTTCCAATGTGGTAAAATAATGTCACTTATGTCTATTTTATAATGTATTAACTCATATTGCAAGTAAATAAAATAAGATATTAATATATTTGCTTTATAGTTTGTTTTACTTTAGCTTTATTATTACGAAATAAGATTTTTTAAATGTTACTAAAACAAGACTAGATTTTACTGAGACTTCTAACACTTAATCAGTCCCCTAATTCTTGTTTTTATTGTTTTTGTTGATATTCTTTCTGTCAAAATTAGTATTTTCACCAGATTTTTGTTCATCATTTTCCCAGTCTCTTGTCATTGTTTGCATCTTTCATATATTTAAATATATTAATTAAAAAAGTTAACTGATCAAAAGTTAACTGAAGCTTCTATTGAGGCATTGCAGACTGAAGTCAGTACTTAGGTGAGTGTGCTGTAGGAAGCAAATAATAGCTAACACATCTTACAGAACAAACTAGAGAAAACCATCAGTGTTCATCTGCTCAGAGTTTTAGGGTTTTGTTATCATGTGTGGGGACAACATTCATCACTTGAAGGGCAGAATGCAAGAACAGTAAGGCTAGGGATATTTCTTGGTAAGTTTGGTCTGGTGTAACAAAGTACATTAGGTTAGGGAGCTTAGAAACAAAAGAACTTTTTCTTACAGTTCTGGAAGCTGGTGGTCTGATACTGGACTGGGGGCCATCATGGTCTGGTTCTGGTAAACACTATTCTTTTTTTTGTGAAGACTGGGATTTGAACTCAGGGCTTTGCACTTGAAAAGCCAGTGCTCTTTCACTTGAGCCATACCCCTAGTCCATTTTGCTTTAGTTATTTTGAGATGGGACCTTGCGAACTACTTTCTCAGGCTAGCTTTAAACTGTGATCTCAGCCTCCCAAGTAGCTAGGGCTATAGGCATGAGGCACTGGCACCCAGCTTGATGAGGACCTTTTTGTGGTTTGCAGGCTGCCAACACGTCCTTGTATCCTCACATGGAAGAGAGTGAGACAGATTTGGGCTTTGTTATGAAGTCCCTAATCACATCCACAGCCTAATTACACACCCTCAAGTCCCCATTACCCAATTCTATCATATTGGTGATTGAATTTCAGGATAAAAGTGTTTAGGGGACACAGATGTTCAGTCTGTAACAAGATGCTTTTCAATAAGCACCCCTGATTTTTGTATTTGAGCAAGAAGGAGAATCAAGAGGGACCTAGGTCTTTCTAGGTTCAGGGTGAAATTGCAGTTGCCAATATTTTTAACAACAGAAATCAAAATTGTGATTCTCAATCATGATTTCATTCAAATTTATCTTAATGATGGTTTTTTTAGCTTATTTAATCATATGATATTTCTTTTATACATCATTAGATATTCATCACTTTTCTTCAACACCACTGCTCTATACTTATTTGAGATGATCTGATTTGTCAGATGCTGAATTTTGAAATGTACTTGGAATTCTCTGGACTTTCTGTGTACATTAACATTTCATTTACTTAATGTGTTATAGAACAGAAGGATCTCCAATTGTCTATTTTTTGAAACTTTATGCTGCTTAGACCAAGATGGCCATTAGACCATCCAGGCCCTCTTCCCACTGTGCAGACCCTGACTTAGCAACCATACAACCATACACAGAAAATATTGCACTTGAGAACACCAAATCAGAGGGTATTGTAATCCCAGTGAGCACATAGTGGAGAATGACGTCAAAGTGCATTGAAAAGTTCTTTGAACTCACTACAGCCCCTTTTCCTAGTTAGCAGAGAGTGGCATTATCGTGAAAAAAATCTCAGCTTGTGGCTTCTTCCTTGGGAGCAAAAGAAAAGAGTACAACATGCATGCAACATCCTGGGTTTCGGAAGGAGGGTTATTGAGGGACCAGTTTCTCTTTCCTGAGGTTGAATTCTGTCAGTAAGTGACATGGTTTAGCTGCCTCTTTGGGGATACTGACCCCAAAGTGTTACCATAGTAAAGCATGAGGGAGAGACAGAAATTATGACGTAGAAACTGAAAGGGTCAAACTTCAACTGAGAAATTATGCACAAAGAAGATCAGAGAAAGCATAGCCTCAGAAAATATTTGAGAGTTCCCTCAGAATCTCTAGCTGGTGTGATTAGTTAAAGTCTTCCCTTACATGAAGACAGTCAGTAAAGACTGTAGAGGTGTGGTGTTTTTTATTTCAAGTGCCCAAATAGCAGCTAAAAAAATAACAAAAATATAAAGAAACATGAAATATGATTCAATAAAAGGGATAAAACAAATACCTAGAAACTTACTCATATTCAAAGTTCTGAAAGAAAAATAACCTCTGCCAAGAATACTATATATAGCAAAATTGTCCTCCAAAAATGATGAAAGAAAATAAGACTTTCCTAGCCAAACCAAACCTGAGAGAGTTAATCACAGCTAAACGTTCCTCACAAGAAATGCTAGATGTGTTCTTTCAAGTACAAATGAAAAGATTCTAGACAAAAACACAAGAATCTACAAAATAACAAATCTCTCAGATGATATTAAAAATATTAACTAATATGTAATTTTTAGTATTATAATATTGGTTCTCAAATCACTTTAATTAAGGCATGTAGCTTAAAAGATAAATGTATACAACTACTTATACCTCAAGGTTAGTGGATGCACAATATGAAAAAATGTAATTGTAAGATCCATTATGTCAAGTTGAAAGGGTAAATATATAGTTTTGCATATGATTGAAGTACGGTTATCAGATAAAATAATTGACTTTAAGATATTTCATGTAATCCCTAACATAAACAAAAGGATAAGTGCCTACAGGAGATGTAAAAAAGAAATACAAAAATGACCCCAGCTGTACAACTGCAAAAGAAAACAATGCATCACAATTATCAATGCAGCAAGAAAGGAAAAAAGGGACAAAATAAGTACTAGACATATAGGAAATGATTGATATAATTCCAAAGGACACACAAGTCCTTCCCCCGTCAGTAACACTTTGAATATAAATGAATTAAACTCCCCAATCAAAAGACATAGGTTGGCTAAATGTGTTTTTTAAAATAAGCAAACAAGTCCCACCTATCCTGGTATATAAGTCACTTTATTGATTGACTGATTAGTGGCAGTAAAGGTATTTGAACTCAGGACCTTGAACTTGCCAGACAAGTGCTCTACCATTTTAGCCACGCCCTCAGCCCTTTTCACTTTCATTTCGGATAAGGTCACATTTTGCCTGGGGCTGGCCTTGGACTACAACCCCCATACCTATGTCTCCCACATAGCTGGAATTGTAGGCATGTGCCATCGCATCTGGCTGTTTTCTATTTCTTAAGATAAAGTATTGCTAAATTTTCTACTGGGCTGGCCTCAAACCATGATCCTCTCGCTCTCTGCCTCCTGAGTATCTGGTATTACGGGTGTGTGGCATCATCCCTAGCAAGAAATTCAATTTAGATATAAGGACACACAGAAGCTAAAATTATTTTTATACTTTATTTTATAATTGATGTACTGGGGTACATTGTGACATTTACAAAATTATTCCTATTTGCAGATGGTAAGATCCTACACATGAAGGACCATAAAATAGCATCCATAAAACTCTTAGATTTGAAAAACATTTTCAGCAAAGAAGCAAAAAAATTCAACATTAAAAATATCAGTAGATTTTCTATAATGAAGACTGAGAAAGAAATCAGGAAAACAATCTCATTCATGATAGCTTCAAAAAATTAAATGAGCTTAACTAAGGAGATAAAAGACCTCTAGAATTAAAATTATAAAACCTTGAAGAAAGAAATTAAAGAAGACTTTTAAATAGAAAGACCTCCATTGTTATGGATCTGTGTAATCAATATTATGAAAATGGATATGGTACTGAAAGCAATCTACATATTTAATACAATGCCCATCAAAATTCCAAAGTCATTCTTCACAGAAATAGAAAATTCAATTCTAAAATTCATTTGAAAAAGACTCCAATAGCCAAACCAATCCTGAGAAAAATACCAATGCTGGAGTTATCACCATACCATACTTTAAGTCATACTACAGAGCCACATAACAAAACTATCATGGTACTGGCACAAAAACAGACATGCACATCAATGGAACCAAACAGAAAATCCAGAAATAAAGCCACACAGCCACAACTCTCTGATCTTTGACAAAGGAACCAAAA